AATTTAGTTTACGATCAGAAAGTTAATGACCGCGGCATACACCTCAGTCGACTCGACATTTTTATCAACGCGGAAAATTGGATCGCTTCCGACGCTCCTTCGTCGCTGACAATGACAGATTACCAATTGTCCCCGGTTTAAGGACTCATCTTTGACTTGTTGAGCCTCGACGGGTGAATGACTCGAGTGAAGATCACATGTGAATCGAAAAGTTATAAAATTAACTCTGTAGGTGTAATGGAGATGTTGCATGTGTGAGGAATTTGCGATTTGACTGTTGATTCTTTTGTAAAAGTTTGCGAGAAACACGATGGTGCCACTCCCAAGCTCAGAAAAAGCTCTCAAGTTGAGGCCAAAATGGAGGGGATATCCCACCCTACCTTGAGAGTCCACCTCTACATCAAGACAAACTCTCCATGCAAAGATAGGGAGCAAATACATTATTAGCAGTGATGCCGTGTTTTCAGTTTTATAGTCCCCAAATAAAGTGGCAGCCCTGTCAATGTATTATCTTTGCATGGAGAGTTTGTTTTGATGTAGAGGTGGACTCTCTGGGTAGGGTGGGATATCCCCTCCATTTTGGCCTCAACTTGAGAGCTTTTTTGGAGCTTGGGAGATGATTTCAGAGAAAACCAGTGGCACCATCGTGTTTTCGCGAACTTTTACATATGAAGCAACTGTCAAATCGCAAATTCTTCACACATGCAACATCTCCATTGCAGTTTACTTTAAGTGAAATTTAATGTTATGAACCCGGTAGGCGATAACTCGAGCGTCGATCGTATATAAATTGTATGGTTAAAAAATTAGGACCGTATGGTTGCAATTTACATTCAGTAAGCTAGATTGTTTTGCAATAATGTGAAAAGCTGTTTCACACTTAACGTCGTTTTAGAGATTCTCCATTGAAACAGGTTTCGATTTCATCGAATGCAGTTGAAGAAATAATTTAGGGGCCGCCCATTAATGACGTCAAGTATGACTTTCAATGAAATTAGAAGGGTGAAAATACCTTTGTAAGACGTAATGGTTAGGAGACTTTAACGCCAGGGAAGAAAAGTTGCCGCTTTTTTAAACTCAAATCTTGCCCATCACTTCATGCTTTTCAAGACAGGAGGTGGTAGGAATAAATAAAGGTTCNCCCCCCCCCCCCCCACCCGCGTTAGGTGTGCGTACAGGCAGCTGTTGAAACCCCTCTTCCCTCTTTTCTAAATCACGTAGAGTCGGGGTCACTTTCTTTCATAATACTCGCGAAAAATTGATGTTTCGCATCGTTTCAGATTGAAACTTCCTTGAAAGTGTGCGCTTCGTGCCGACAAGTACGACTTGACCCCTCTCCCGCCCCCTTCTCGTCAGGCACATTCCATCATTTCATGACCTCCCACAGTATTGTGACGTCAGTTATAAACGGCCTCTGAACCTCCCTTCATCCTATCAATGAAATTAAATCGATAAAATACCTTTGCGAGACTTAATGGTTTGGAGACTTTAACGCCCGAAAAGAAAAGTAACCGTTTTTTTCTTAAAACTCAATTCTCTCCCGTTACAATATGTTTTTTCAAGACAGAGGTTCGTATGAATAGAGAAAAGTGAACACTATCATCCAGAGTCTTATTTATGTTAAATCTAATTTCTCGACTGATCAATCTCTCCCTCCCCCCTCCCCCTCTCCTCTTTTAAAATATAAGGATGAGCCAAGAGCGGTTAATTAATTTTATTCGCAAACCGAGGCATAATGTTGCACGTATAATGAAAATTCTTAGCCTCGAATCCGTGGATTTAATCTATATAGAACTTTTTCTGCAACTCTGTTTTTTGAACTGCTATCAGCAAACTTTTCTATACCGGTTTAGTTCAATTTTTTGGCCTTTCTGTGTCGGCATGTTTTTAAACATTTTTTTGAGGTATTCCTTTTTCCCCTGAACCCATAGTATTTATCCAATTTCATATTTCTAAACTAAATTTGTGCAGGCTTCTCTACGATGTGGACGAAAAGTTCAAGAGGCATCCTCGAGGCGCTTCGAGGCGTGTCGGCGGGCAGTCAAAGAATAGCTGGCGCTTTTCCAGGCAACGGTCCCAAGTTCATTGTTCGGCGAGAAGCTGCGTTGTTCTCGACNGGGGGGGGGGGGGGGGGCGACGTCAGCCTACCCTTCATTGAGAGATTACCTCGCTTTTTCAGACGTGACGCACCGCGCAACATGTATATTAAAATGGCTCATTGTTGTCGCTGACCACCGCGCGAGCTGGGCCGCGAGATCCGGCCGCGATCCTACAGCCGCGCTATCTGCTGGCGAGTTGTCAGACGACTTTTACGATCCGATAGCTTTTAGTGTAAATCCGAGGCGGGGGCGCACGCACGCACCCCGACCTCCGCACAATTCTCCCGTGCTAAGGAAGAACGCCGTATGAGCATTTGAGAGTTGCCAAATTTCCTTCGATAAAATGTTTATTTTTGAGGAAAGTTATGGATATTTTTCCTTGAAATTTTACGGAACTTCAGAACAATATACGGACAAAATTTTCTGAAATATTGAAAGAAATATATTCATAAGTTTACTAGGGGATTCTTGTTTTATCGATGGAAATTTGGCAACGCCTGGAGGTTCATACGTCGTTTTTCCCGACCTCCGCACAATTATCCCATTACGTTGGCAAGAACCGTCATTAATTTCCGTTTCCTATCATTTTTCTTCTCCCTCGCTCCCTCGCCCTGGTTTCCGAGTCCACCCCCCTCCTCCGCCGCGGATAAAAGTTCATTGACAGAGAAGATCGTCAGGTCTTAATTTTCTTCAATAAGTAATTGATTTTGTTACGGTTATAAATTGTTTCCGTACGGAGAGGCCAAAGCGAGCGGGGAGGCGCCCATTGACTGCGGTATCTTTTATGTTCGGTTCAGAGCACTCTACCCCTCCGCTACCCCGTTCTCCTTGTATCTTTTTATTGCCGGCACTTGCACTCCTTCGCTTTACCATGTACATGTCCGTGTCTAAGATTCGCCGTACCATGCGAAAAATTTCTCCGCCTTTCTTTTTTTGCATTTTTATATCAAGGGACTTTTTCAATGGTTCAATGAATATCGCTTCATACATGACCATCCACTAGTGGAATTGTAGCTTTCTTGCCAAAAAAACGCAGGGAAATGCACAGACGGAATGCACATTTAGTCACTAAAAGCTCGGATGTCCAACCAAACCGGTGTTGTGAAATATTGAGGTTTTGATCCAAAATGCGAAATTTTCAGAAGAAGCTATGTATAAAGTTTCATTACGCCGTGCGTTAAAAGGACTAGAACTCGTAGGTTTAACATGCAACTACACGTATTTTATTATCAAAGAGGTAAGCTCACTAGATAAATGCGTGTTTTTAAAGAGGACCGTTCTTTGTTGAAAACATGAGTAGAGATTTTCTTTTCACCAACTCGAGAAAGATCGCTATTATTCTGAAACCTCGATGCAGGGCTCTACAATTTCGAGAGTCGAAAAGGTTTTTGAAGACTCCATGAGGTTTAGACCTGGTAAATTTTTTTTACTCACCTGTCTTACTCGAACACTCACCGAGACTGTACTGACAAACTTGCAATGGAAGTAAAAATGCGTCGGAAAGGGTGTCGGTTTTTTTTTTTTTTTTTTACGTTTGGAAGGTAAGACCCCCGAAACTTTTACATAATTAAGTTCGGTAAATAAATGTGTACCAGGTCTAATCCTCATAGCATATTTCAGGTCTAAGCCTCGTATGGTCTGCATCTTAAAAACTACGTATCTATTCGAGATTAACGTAATGGAGAGAATATATTTTCGCCATTGCCTCCAGCCCGATGCTACAGTTATCACGAGGAGCTTGGGAGGGCAGAGAGAAGTGCTCCCAGCTTTCTTTCGCTCGTAAAGTAGACCGGAAAAGAGAGGTCAAGATATTCTTCCGGAGCGGAGTGGGAGGACCCGCGGTCTTTGTGCTGAGTGCACCTCGATGGTCGTTATGCCGAGCCAATAAAGTAAACATCCTAATGGAGAGCACGATGGAGTTTCGAGTGGACCAAAGACAGGGGCATTGTTCCGTGCTCGCTCAGCGGCCATTGGATGCTCTTGTTTCCAACTTCTTTTTGCTTAAAGCTCTAGGCGCCCAGGGTTCAATCAAGTCTCCATTCATGGTTGCCGGGTCTTTCGCCCACTGGAAAAAAGGCTTCATGCAGGGATGGAAAATAATGTTAGTGATAATTAAATTCCTCAGCGTACATGATTCTTAAGCAATCCAGTCATCTGCGCTAAATGTCTGTCAGTGAACCAAAAACCCAAGGAAACAGGTAACCATGGCTGAAACAACAAAATATCAAGTCTGAGACGTTCTTGGACTGGTTTCAACCCCTCCTCGACAAGGAAACAAAAATATATAAATAAAATTATAAAAGTCAAACTAAGTTCGTGTTAACAAAAATAGAAGAAAAAAAGTGTTTTGTTGTTTTAACCTTAGTTACCTGGTTTCTCGTGTTTTTTAGTTGCATTAATCGGGCTATTTTTGTTTCTGTCAATGTTAATCATGCATGCAGTTATGTGTACTAGCCGCAGAATACCCTCTGTCAGAAATTTAGTACTGGCTCCCAACTTTCATGAGGATCTTATAAATCACAACACTTCTTCATTTCAGTGTGATAAATGAACGTATTTATGCTAAAAGGAACTAGTTGCAAATGGAATAATTCAAAAGGAACTATGTCGAACACAGATCCTGTAGGTAGTTCCCTTTTATTTGATTCGATTTAACACCGTTCCTTTTAAGCATAAATTCTGTAAAGCTGCCCTGTTATATCAAAACGGAACCAATCATACAATATTCTAGTTTTTAAAGTGTTCGCCTATCTGTATAAAGAATTCAATAGCCGATGATACGTTGTTTCTGATGTACCACAAAAACCGAAGCTCGTATAGTGTTCGGTCTCTACCGGTTTATTTCTGTGCTTGTTTGGTATGTTTGTAGCTTCAGTAACGGAAATTGATTTCTGATTTCAGGAAATAACAACAGTTCGCAAGGAATGCAAATTGACAAGAAGTCTCACCAATGGTTTGGTGCAACTGTCAGAAGCTCTGGCGAAGATGGAGTAGTTGTGGTAAGTAGATCTAGATTTTTTTCTGAAGATTTTACCTCCAAAAATACTGCACTCGACGCGAGAGGAATTGTAGGATTCGCTCAACTGCAAACAAGTGTATGTAGTTCATCATTATCCGAATCCGCAATAAATTATTGGTACTTTTTTTTTTTCTTTTTTTTTTTTCTTTCTTTTTTTTTCTTTTTGCAATTGTGGCGGATGACCTAATGTACATATTTTTTTTACGATAAGGGATTTCAATTCTACTATTCGATCGGCCTCAATTTTTAAAAACACGACTCTGTGAAACGCATGCCTTGCTTACAGTAGTATCGCTCGACATCTACCAACAAGCTTCAGTTGTCCTTCGAAGGTTGGTAGGCCAAAGGGAGACCGTAATTGTCGAAAATAATCAATTTGGTTTTCCAAAAACGTTATGCTGCACTGAACAGCATCCGGGAAAAAAAAATCTCCAAAAAAAACCAGGGGTAATACCCTATAATCAAGATCGCCACCCAGTTTTTAAATTACACCAGGTTAGATTATTAGCCAATGAGCCTTTTGGTCCATCGAGATCGACGTGCCATTGCATGTACGGACAGGTATAGCTGTCGAAACAGCGTTGCCAGAACCAGTGGCGTGGCGTGAATTGCGATATATCGATTGTTATGCCATTTAAGCCTATGGTAAAGAATCGATTATTAAGGTGTTCGCTGCGAACACCCTGTATATCGATCCTTTTCCATAGGTTTAAGTGGCATAACAATCAATATATCGCAAATCATGCCACGCCACTGGCCAGAACTTTATTTCATCGCAACAAGTGTATAGTCGAGTGCGTCGAAGGATCGATCCGACATTCCGGCGATTTCACGTCGGGAACCGGACGGGTGGTCTTGGCCGCGGCGAAGAATAATCCAGAGAAATACGAGCGGGGCATTGAAACGCAGATCAAAGCAGCTATTAGTCTCAGTTATTAGTTTCAACTGTTTACTTGCCTTCGATCCGTTTATTTATTTCACCAATAATTAAAACGATGGCGCTTTGGCCCGGCGTCGGGCGCTCAACCGTGCGAACTCCTTTCCGGGCGAACGCAGAACCAGATCGAATGAGTGCACTGCCGCGCTGAGAGAGAACGCCTTATCAGCATCCGAATGCTGCTAGATTTACATCCTTGAAAGCCTCGTTCACCCCTGAGAAATTTACATGAGCGTTCTCTTTACAATGTGCAAGGGTACCAAGAAAAATCGTGAACAAAACTTGGGAAAATTCAATGAAAAGCATTCATATTTATTCCAAGAAATTTGAATTTTTTATCGGAAGAAATTGGCAACGTTGGAAGGTTTATAGGGCGGATATTCTAAATATGGCAGTATGGCAGTCAGTTCGAGGGACTTTGATGAGCGAGTTGCCGGCAGCAAGAACCTCAGATGGACTGATGAACCTACTTCGGTATTGCTATAACCCCGGCACACAGCGCAGTATCTTCTGTTGACTACTGATAAATTTTCCGGTATTATGCTTCTGACGGGAGCGAGCCACGATTAATTTTTTTTTTTTAAATTTAAAAGTCTCAAAGGAAAAATTGAATAATGATGAAAAATTATTGCGTCAAAGAGGAGAAGGAACATTTTAGCCATTTTAATTTTTTTTTTTATTATTATTATTTGTGAAAAACTGTGTCAGGCTATAGATTATGTCATCAAGATATGATCGTACATTAACGCAACTTTCAAAGCCTTAATAGGCACTTTTTCCGCTTCGCAACCGCTTTTAGTTCGATATTAATTGTTATTTGGAAACAGTGCACTGGAAAAAAAAGTCGCTTGGATCTAGAGTCCTGACTCTTAGTAATATTGACAAGAAAACATACTCTAGAATTCTAGATTCAATCCAATTTTTCCTTCAATCGAAGAGCCGAGCCTCTTGAATTAGACGGATTTCCTTTCGATTCGAGCAAAAAGTCCGATTGAATCGAGAGTATTTTTTCTCGTCAATGTTTTTAAGAGTCTTGACGACTCTTGAGCCAAGCGACTTTTTTCTCCAGTGTACCTCAGAATTCATTTTAAGGATGCTTTTCGGCACGAAAATACGAGCATTCCTTAATGATTGATCTAGAGTTTTAAATTTCAGTTTTCCCAAAATAGCCCACCTGATAGTTAAAATTTGATGAACCGTACCCAGAATGCATTGCGCCAATGCTGAGGATTCATCTTACCAAGGACTGATTCATACACTTAAAAATATGCTCCATGGCTCGCAAAAAGTAATTATTTATACCACTTTGACATTGCTCGCTGCCCGGTATAGATGGCGCTGCGTGTGCATGGGCCCAAGAATCGTTGCTCATTGGCGCGGAGGTAATGTAAGCCGCCAAGCAATTCCAAGTATTTGACGGCAACTTAAATTTCCGAAAGCGAAGGCGGCATCTGCCCGTTTGAAAAATGTAACCAGATTGTTTTTATTGAGCGAGAGATAGGGGAGGCATCAGGCATCTCGTCCTCAGCCATTTTAGGTATGACATGTTCCGTTTCGACGAACCGCGAAAGCATTCCTCCCCCTCCCCCGCCCCCTCTGCGCCTTTCCCGG